ATTGTCGAAAATTTTCTCGGAGGAACGAGGAAATCAATTCAAGTTTTAAGAGATAGCAAGACAACACGATTTTAAGAAAAACAGTCGGAGGTAAGATAATTTCAAGTTTTGAAGCCGGGAGCCCGCCCAGCCGAATATGACAGTTGAGCTACCGTGCTAGAACCACGGAACTCGGGAATGCCTAATACCTTCTCCCGGGTTAACAGAATTCCTTATCCGGATTTCTGGTTTGCGGACTGTAATACAGAATCATTCTTTTCCTCGATTCGGGATTAAATTGGTGACTTGGGACACCCTAAATCTCCCAAGTGACGACTCTGAAATAAATAAACAAATCCCGTTTCGATTGTCCTTTAATTGGAAAAACTCCTTCACCCCTCGCGGGGGCAGAAAAAGGAGGTGTGACAATCACCACAACGAATACAACAACAACAATGATAATAATACAAGTACGACGAGTGAATCAACTCAAGAACTCTAAATCACAAGGAAACGATAGAGCTCATTCACAAGGAATAACCACGGTAAAGAATTCTAGGTGTAAAGAGAGCAGCTCAACAAGGCATGAACTAATGTGCCACAACGATTCCAAAATGTACAGTTCGGCAACAAGAAAAATCTAACACGAGTCAAATAGTTCCAAATAAGGGCAAGTCAACTAAATATGGGATATCTAGACTTCTTATAAGGTTTGGGCAATTACGAAGAATATTTAACAATTCAATTAAAGATAGACAGCGCAAAGGTAATCATAACCTCAATTAAGGCTAAACAATTATATGAGGAGATGATGATAATTTCGAATAAAAATAATCAGTTGTGAAGAGATAACATGGCAATAGAAGAGGTAAAATCTTCAGTTAAGTCAAATAAGAGTTAAATAGGCAATAAGAGTGAATCCTAAAGCAATTAATTCTAATTTAAGCATGTAGACGTAAAACTAGTAAATAGGAACTCAGTCATATCAAGAATAACTTCATATACAGTAAATATAAGGACCTAAGAACCCTGAAAGTCCAACTATCCACAAATAAGTCTGAGCACGCACTCGTCACCTCGCGTACATGGATTACAATCAACATAGAAGACTCAAATCCTAAAGGGAAGTGCCCCACACAAGGTTAGGCAAGATACTTACCTCGAAGACGACAACCGATACTCTAAAATAAACTTCTCGGGTGAAAAGACTTCCGGACGGCTCAAATCTAACGAAAGTAACTTCAAAGCACAAATAAAACTCATAAGAAACTATTCCGGATCATAAAGTCTCAATCTTTAACAAGATCCAAATATCGGTCCAAAGGCCGACCCCCCAGCCCGCATCTCAGAACCCGACAAATTTTACAAAATCGAATACCCATTCTGATACGAGTTTGACCATACAAAAATTATCAAATTCCGATACCATTTGGTCCCTCAAATCATGATTTTTCATTTTAGAAATTTTCTTCAAAAACCAATATTTTTCCTCAACCCAAAACACAAATTAAATGATAAAAATGAAGATAAAATCATGGAATATGTTAGATTCTAGGTGAAGAATATTTTTACCCAATCGATTTTCTTGAAAAAACCCCAAAAAGAAGCTCCCAAATTCGAAGTCCAAAGCTTAAAATATGAAGAAAATGGCCAAACCCTCGATATAAATGATTCTGCCCAGCACATCCGCATCTGCGAACACCTAAGCGCATTTGCGGGCAGGCGTTTGCATTTGCGAACTTGACTTACAGGCCAAGGAGCGGTGCCGCAGATGCGATAGACTAATCGCAGAAGCGGTTTCGCATCTGCGTTCCAGCATTCACAGAAGCGAGCTAGCTTCCAGGCCTCAAAGATCGCAGACGCGATCAGGCTCACGCAGAAGTGGAGCCGCACCTGTGCTCCAAGGTCGCAGGTGCGAAAACACCAGAAAGCAGACATGTTCCAAAACCATGTAAAACATCTGAAACTCGTTCGAAACACTCCCGAGTCCCCCTGGGACCCTATCTGCACACACAAACAAGTTCTATAACCTAACAAGTACTCGTTCGAGTTCTCAAATCATATCAAACAACGCCGAAAATGCAAATCGTGCCATGAATCTAACTATAAACTTCCAAATCTTCCAACTCTAAAAACTCGTGCCGAAACCAATCAAACTAACCCGGAATGACGCCAAATTTTGCAGACAAGTACCAAATGACAAGATGGAGCTGTTTCAATCTCGGAGTCGCATTCCACTCCCGATATCACAAAAGTCAACTATGGGTCAAACTTCTCCATTTTTCAAACTTCAACTTTTCCAACTTTCGCCGAAATGCCTCAAATTACCCTACGGATCTCCAAATCCGAATCCGGACGCGCCTGAGTCCCAAATCACCATATGAAGTTGTTAAGATCATCTAAAACCCATTTTAGAGCCATTTACTCAAAAGTCCATATCCGGTCAAATTCTCACTGCTTAACCTTCCAAAACTAGAATTCTTCTTCCAATTCGATTCTGAATCCTCCGGTAATTGAATTCAATCATGCACGCAAGTCGATACATATATTATGAAGCTGTTCAAGATCTTACGCTGCCGAACGGAGCTTAGATTCTCAGAACGACCGGCTAGGTCGTTACACCAACCCGACCCATCAAAGGGAAGATTGGCTCGGCCCGGAACCGATCCCAAAACATCAAATTACAAAGCGACAAACTCAGAAGTCATCTTTATAACGTAGACAAAAATTCTCAGTCCATTACACTTTACCTTTACATGGTATGATTATATAAATAATTAGTGTTTGTTTACATGCATTCATAGATCTACGTGCATTGGAATGGTAAATAATAATATGTTGCCTTAGCCTCTTTGCATACATTCCATGGGGACAAGTTATAGAAATTAGAACAAGTCCAAATTTGCCGCAAGTTATGGTCATTTCTAACACATAAAAACATATGGTCAAAATTGATTGTGATAGAATAATAAGTATTTTTTCATTCTTTAAATTTTGGATTTTAGTTCTTAGTATAAAGTCGCGTTTGTTAAAAAATATTTTTTAAGTTCTTAGTATGAAGTCACATTTGTTTTGAAACATTTTATTGCATAATGTGGGACTTTTCGAATATGAATTCAAATTTAATCGGCGAAAAAAAATACTAAAAAACAATACAAGAACATAAGGTCAAAAAAGCACATGATGATGAAACGGGATCTCTCACTAATTCGTGGATCCACACCGCAATTTACGTATATGTCTTTTCCTTAAGCAACCGTAATAGTTATTTTAATTAACCAATGAGAATACACTTCATTAATTAATTTTAATGATAGCCAAATTACGCTATACTAACTATAATCGTTCCCCACCATTCACGGGCTTGTTTTTCTTTTTCTTTTTTAGTTATTTTTCTTATTTTGAAATAGAATATGAATGAGAAGAAGACTAGAAGAGTATTGAAATGAGAGTATTTTGATATCACATTCGTTTACTAACAGCTTGTTTGGATGGCTATTGCTTATTGAGTTCTACTATATTGTTATTTTAAATATAATATTTATTTTTATTATTACTTACTTATTGTATCATATTATTAAATCCGTCATTATATAACGAAGAAAAGCGCCATTTTATGTAACGATCAATTTGGTGTGGTCGCATCGTTACTATATATTTTTCTCTCAGCTTACCCATTTGTTATTACTATATAATCCAATTTTATCCTCTATCCTTTACCCCTTATCCTACTCTTTTGTTGTTGTAATATTATAAGTTTATTCTTCAGATTGCTAGTGCATTGGCATTAGGGTTGTTCAAACCGAACCGGAAAATCGCACCAAACTGAAAAACCAAACCATACCGATTAAAAAACCCGACTAGGTTTGGTTTGACTTGGTTTGGTATTGAATAAAAAAACCCGAACCAAACCGACATATAAATATATAAATTTTATTTATATTTTTAAGATTTTATAGTGAATTTTCTTTAGAAAACGTAGAAATATTTGGGATCCTCTCATGTATTAACCTTGAAAGCGTAAATTAACGAAAAATTATTGTTGGACGACTAAGAAAATAACTATCACGTATTACTAAAAATATTCTCCCATTAGAATATTTAAATAGATCATATGTTTGTTAATTTTTTCCATATTTACTAAACATATATTCACTTATCAAAACTTTATCTATAATTTTAACAAAGTAAGATTGAAATAATATTCATGTAAAAAAAATCCGAAAACCCGAAAAATCCGACAAAACCGAACCAATCCAAACCGATATAGTTGGTTTGATTTGGTTTTAATAAAAATCGAACCAACCCGGTCTATGTACCCCCTAATTGGTATCATGAAATGACTAAAAACGATACAATTTATCTAAATATTTTATTTATTAATATAATATAATATAATATAATATATAATGATGACCAACAAAATGACCAACCAAAATGTAAAAAGATGAACTTTTGATAGGCTCCAAAATCCGATTTCTTCGCATTAAAATGTGGGAACATGGTTATTTCGTTAGCATGCAAATGAGCAACGCTATCCACATTCTTTTATTAGATTTTAAAAGCAAAGAAAGACCTCAAGTTCACAACTCTCGAGACAGTGTATTAAACAATGAACGAAACAAAATAAAAACTTTTTACAACTATATATTACTACCTCTACCTCTGCCTCATGATCCATGCTAAATGATAATTTTATCTTTGGCACACTTATTAAAGAAATATGAACTCCTAAAGAAAAAATATATATTCAATAAATTAGTTATTATCTTAACACAGTGTAGTATATAAATAAGGACAAATTTTAGAAAAATAATAATAATTCTTTCTTGATTAAATAAATAAACACTTATTTTGAATAAAAATAAAAAGATAAAATAATCATTTATTTTGAACGGAACAGTGCTCGTAATGTGTTTGTATATTGCCAAAAGTGTGGCCAATTTTCAAATTTGCACTTTTTCCTTGTCCAATTAACAAACAACTAGGAGTACTTTTATACCCCCTTGTCCCCATTTCTAATCCTTCCAACATCCTTATCTTTCACCCACTTTTCCATTTGTTCTCTTCTTGTGCCAAGATTCTAAAAGATTTATAAATAAAACCCAAATCAAGCCTTTTTCACCATAAATATTCTTCTTCTTATTTTTGGTTGTTAGATTTGAAATAGGAAACAAAAGTGGGAAACAATGGGGAATACTCTAGGAGGAAAAAAGACAACAAAAGTGATGAAAATTGATGGACAAACCATGAAATTCAAGACACCAATTTATGCAAACGAGGTTCTAAAAAATTATCCTACTATGGTATTATTAGAATCAGAAGCAGTGAAGCATTTTGGGGTCAGAGCTAAGCCATTGGAACCACAACAAGAGTTGAAACCTAAAAGGCTCTATTTCCTAGTTGAGTTACCTAAATACCCTGAACAGAAAACCCCGAGGAGGGTCCGTTCAGGGATCCAAATGAGCGCGAAAGATCGGCTCGAAACCCTAATGCTAGCACGAAGATCGGTGTCTGACTTGTCAATCTTGAAGCCTGCCAGTATTACGACAGAAGAGTCGTCATACCATAATAACTCTGCTTCAGGCTCACTCGTTAATAATTCATCGCCACGTAAGACGGAGAATGGTGGGCCCGTTAGGGTAAAGTTGAGGTTGCCTAAAGCTGAGGTGGAGAAACTGATGACGCAGTGCAAAGATGAGAATGAAGTTGCTGAGAAAATTATGCAACTTTGCATGAGCAACAATGGTGGAAGTGGTCCATTGATGGAAGAACAAAGTCATAATAATGGAGGAATAATTAAGAAAGGACTCAAATCAAGAGAGGTATTGTTCTCTTCCTTATGGACATGGATCCACTTTAATTTCATGTCGTATTTATTTTTTCTTCCCCTTTTTAATGATATCTTCTTATGATTCTAACTTTATAATTTAAAATAATACTTGAGTAGTAAATCGAGCATTCCGTTTTAAGTTAATGAGTTCTAAATTAATAATTTGTGTACATTTTATAAATTTTTTAAAACACATAAAATGTTCGAATCAAAATTATTGGGTTCGACTGAGCCCGCTCCCGACACTATCTCCTTCCTTGTTTGTAAAGATAGTAAAGTAAAAACTATTGAGTTACATTAGTTTACATTTTTTTATTGGAATATTAACTCAATTCGTAGAACCATAGGATTACATGCTCCTAAAGATTAAATTAATTAACAAATTGTATCGTCAATTCGGTTTTAGGAAAATTACATGAAACGTGACACACTTTCATTTTCTGGAAATTCTATTTTCAAGAATGACTGCTTCTGTCTTACTAGGCGTTTTCAATCAACAATTTCTGCTAGTTCTAACAAAAGGTGCAAATTCTATCCACAAACAACACCTAAGTCAAACTTTGATAACTTCCACTATTTGTCCTTTATTTTAGTTTTTTTTTTTTTTTTTTTTTTTTTTTTTTTTTTTTTTTTTTTTTTTTTTTTACATATTATACCTATAGGCAAATCCACTACGTATTTATATTTTATGGGTTGAAATACGTAATTTTACCATATCCCATTAAATTTAATGGATTCAAAATTTATTATATATATATATATATATTAATGATATTTTGTGCAAAAATAGTAGAAACGACAGCAAGAAGCTATTTTAGAGGATTTTATTTACGAATTAGTCAGTGTATCCTAAATTTTAGTTTTTCAATTCAATTTTTCAGGACAAAAGTTCTGAATTGTCCTGAAATTCAGATTTTTAGTTTAAAATTTCAGGACAAAATAAGTATTGACTAATATTTAAATAGCATCCTTGAGAATTACTATCTGTATATTTGCCCTGCAAAAATATAGGGTACGAGCAAAACCTANGGGGAGGAGAAGGAAAATTATTGGTTAATAACTGAACACGTATGCCTACCATACTGAACACGTAGTGGATTACGTAGATATAGAAAATATAGAAAACTAAAATTCGTTGAAACAGATTATTCAGCCCATGATGTCAACTTTGGTTACACCACTAATAGAAATGAATCGGAAAAAGAAAAAATAACTGGAAAAGATGTTAAAAATTATCTTGAAAATATTTATTTTGTATAATCTTCCTTCGGTTAACTTTTTTCTTTTTGGTGTAATACAGAAACGTGTAGGGTTCTTGCCGATAACAGAAGGGGAGATTCAATTAGCAATGGCAGCTTCTTAAAAAGAAATGGGAACAAAATAGACTATTTTAAATAGTAATTCGTTCTATAGCTTCTCTAGTTTATTTTGTATGATGATGACATGAGTCGAGCACTCGAACATAAATGGAAAAGTGAAAATTTATGTAGCCGATCCTGATTTATGTGAGGCTGAGGCATAGTTATTATTGTTGTATAGCTTAATTCTCTAGTCATGTAGTGGTCTCCGAATTTACTGGCATCTCAGCTACTTAATTAGTACTAATCATGTATTAGTCATTTTGTATAATAAAATTAAGAATCTGAAAATGAGATTATTTGCCCTGTTGTGATTTTATGTGAGATGGTTTGAAGATATACTTGTAGCATTTAAGGACTAATTATTTATTTCTTCATTCTTATCTGACCTTGAATATTGCAATTTGCATGCTATTTCTTTTACGGGATTTGACTGGACTTATTTTTAAAAAAAAAAGTTTACTGAGTGTGCAAAAAGTGTAGAGATTTCTGAAATATAAAGAGATTAAGGGGAAAAAAAGTTGACTTGGACAAATTAAGAAAGGTAAATAAAAATTTTATATGTTATCTAATAAAAGAGTAAAAAGTTAAATTATCAAATCAATTTAAATTGAAATGTTGAGAAAACTATCCATCAATCCATTTTTAATTAAGTCAAATGGTTACTTTATTTATATACCTAAGAAGTTTTTGTTTCTTTTATATGAAAAATTATACTTTTGTATTAAAAGTATTAAATATTATTATTTTTAAATACTTTTATTTTTAAATACTTATATTTCTAAAAAATGGGAACCCCCAAATTTGGGGGTTTTATCTCCTATCTAGTTGTAGATGCAATGCGTGTTCTTGCCATCTGCGACAGAACAAGAATGGAAGGATTCAATCATCAATGATAGAATAAAAATCGCACGACAGAGTAAGAAAGAAGTGATATTTTTCCTAAATTTCATAGCTTCTGGAAGATAAGTACAGACGTGTCTGTAACGATCCTCCAGACTCTACTAAGTTTGCTCATGACTCGTGAGACCTAAGTAACCTAGTACTCTGATACCAATTTGTCACGACCCAAAATTCCCACCTTCGGGATTGTGATGGCGCCTAACATTTCACTTGCTAGGCAAGCCAAAGTTAGAATTGTTTTTAAGCCATTTTAAACAAATCAAATTAACTGATGCCAATTAAATTGAGTTTATGAAAATACACTGATATAAAGTGCGAATGATCATAATTACCAAAATATCTAAATACAACCCTGGTCTGGTGTCACAAGTGCACGAACTACTAGAATAATACAGATAAAGGTCTGAATGAAAATAAAGTTGTATGAAAGATAATACACATCTAAGATAAAGTAGAAAGAGACTTTAGGGCTGCGAACGCCGAGCATCTGTACCTCAAGTGTCCGTCTGATAGTCAACCCGATCAATCTACTGACCGCCGCTAGGACCGACTTCAAAGTCTACACAAAAAGTGCAGAGTGTAGTATGAATACAACCGACCCTATGTACTCAAGTGTCGAGCCTAACCTCGACGAAGTAGTGACGAGGCTAAGGCGGGCCACTTATATTAACATGTACGTAATAATAATAATAATAATAATAATAATAATAATAATAATAATAATAATAATAATAATAATAATAATAATAATAATAATAATAATAATAATACAGAATAGACATGAATATAAGCAAGTAACTCATATCAACGAAACTCAAATCAACCAGCAGAGAGTCCCGAATAACCAGCCATATAACTCCTCTCAACAACCGAGACCAAACCGACAGTCACAAACAATATTACTTTTATAAATATGTTGCGGCGTGCAACCTGATCCCACAATATAAATTTTAAATAAATTCGTTGCGGCGCGCAACCCGACCGCTCTATATAATCATCTATCATAATCCATCCTTATTTCGACCTTTTTAATTCATTTCTTTTTAATTTCCAATGCGGCGTGTAACCCGCTCTCCAAACAATATCATTTAACTATAGTAACTCAATAACTAAGATTTACAAGAAATCATACATTAAGAGAACAAATGTACGGGAAATAGAGAATAACATGATAATCAAGAGCTCGAACTACTCGGATGTCTCAACTTTACCAACTCAACGGTGTCTACTTTTAACAATACGTACAAGTGATACTACTCCAATAAAAGTAACAATTAATATGAAACTATAAGGCAACAAGGCATAATACAATTTAGATATATGAGGGGAACAAATGGAGACAAGTAGTAATTAAGTGCGGAATCAGGGAGGGGATGAACAATTTAAGACAAGAAATGTTAAATGACAAGTAGTAATTATGGCATGGAAGTCAAATAAGCATGTAGCAATTAAGGCATGAAAACGGGACATAATGTTAAGCAATGAAGATAGGGAAAACAAGTAATGTAACGGCTAAGTCATGAAATAAAGTAATTAATGAAATACGGAAAATATGGAAACAAGTAATTTGACGGCGTATATACACTCGTCATTCGCATATACACTGCTACACATGTAATTCACATAGCACATAGCTTAAGAGTTCCTAATTTCCTCAAATCTAGGCTAGACCCAACACTTACCTAACTCTGCAATCAACTCAAAGTTCAACCACGGCCCTGCATTTCGAACAAGCCTCCACTAACCAAATCTAGCAGATTTTAACCAAACGATTCAAAATAAGCCTTAGAAACTACCCATGAATGAAAGAGGTTCAATTTAGATCATCATTGAAAAAGTCAAGAAAAGTCAACCCACGCCCGCTTGGTCAAAACCCGAGATTCGGATCATAACCCGATTATCCATTCACCCCCGAGCCCGGTTATGTAATTAGTTTCTAAATCCGACCTCAATTCGAGGTCTAAATCCCAAATTTACAAAAATTTCTAATTCTACTCAAATCACTAATTTCTATGATAGTCCGAGATTTAATATTGAAAACTTATGAAATGTAATAGGTAATTGAAAGAAAGTAGATTAAAGTCAGTTACCAATGAATTTAGGAAAAAAATCTCTTGAAAAAATCGTATCTAGAGTATTTAAGGTTGAGAGTTTGAAAGAAATAAGCAAAATCCCCTTTTTTTCTCTTTTACCCAGCTGCAGTTATCGCAATTGCGATGATTGCAAAAATGATCAACCCCTCGCAAATGCGAAGAAGTCCCTGAGCCCGTTGTCGTCACAAATGCTATAATTTGTTTGCAATTGCGCACTTTTACTTTGCAAATGCTAAGCATGCTCTAACAGTGCTGAGTCGCAATTGCGACTCTTGGATTGCAAATGCGATCACTGCAACTCCGCAAATGCAAATTTTTCCTCGCAAATGCGAACTTTTCCTTACAATTAGGATTTCTACCCAGCCAACCCATGCTCGCAAATGCGAAGTATCCTTCAGAAAAGTGATGCTCGTATTTGCGAGCGAGACCTCGCAAATGCGAGATCTGTAGTCCAGCATGAGATGTAAACATGCACCAGCTATGCTTCTAAGTTAAAAACCACTCCTAGGCCTATCCGAAACTCGCCTGAGCCCCTCAGGCTCCAAACCAAACATGCACACAAGTGTAATAACATCATACGAATTTGCTCGCACGATCAAAGCATCAAAATAACACCTTAAACTATGAATCAGATACCAAAACAAATAATATTTTCAAAGAAACATAAGAACTTTTAATTTTTCAACTGGACGTTCGAATCACGTCAAATCAACTCCGTTTTGCACTAAATTTTTATAGACAAGTCATAAATACTGAAATGAACCTATGTCAAGTTCCGACACCGTAATCCGAATCCGATAGCAACAAAGTCAACCGATGATCAAACTTAGGAATTCTTTTAACTTTAAATTTCTAGTTTTCAACAAATTGCGTTAGATCAAGCTGTGGACTTCCGAATTCGATTTTGGGCATATGTCCAAGTCCCAAATCCCGATACAGACCACCGGGATCGTCAAAATACTGTTCGAAATCCATTTGCTTAAAACGTTGACCGAAGTCAACTCAAATGAGTTTTAAGGCACGATTTCATATTTTCGTCAATTTCTTATAAAAATCTTCTGAAAAAAGAACACGGACTATGCACGCAAAACGAGAAAGGTTAAATGGAGTTAATCGAGATCTACACAGAAATAAAGGTTAAAACTATAAATGACCTATCGGGTCATCATACATTTGATGGCGATTTTGGATATCGAAATGTCGATAATTGGCAACATGCAAACCTCTTTTAGTGGCGATTGTAGCATTCATCACAGAAAGTTGGCTGTGAAAATGTTGGTCGAAATCAGCGACAAACCACTTTAATGGTGACTTCTACTGTCGCCACAAAAAGGCTGTCAGATTTATTTTTATTTAATTAAATAAATGATAAACTCTCTTAGTTTCTTTACGTATTTATTTTTAAAATTTTTGAATTCCTTAATGAAAATGTTGCCTTCGATGCCTAAGAGGCCGTTTGGATTAGCTGATTGTAAATAGCTAATAAGCTTGCTGAAACTAATTTTTTAAGCATTTACATTTTTGGATAAATGTACTAAAACTGATAATAAGTAGTTGATGTGTTTTTTAGAAAAGTGATGATAAACTATTCTTTTATTAAAATGACTAAAACACTCTTAAAACTTTACAAAACATTATAAATTAAAACAATTCTTTGCAAAGAAAAGGATGAATAACAAATATATTATGAAGAAAAAGTTAGAAAATTTATTTTGTGAAAAATATTTTGTGAATTCAAAAATATTATTAAGGATAATTTAATAAAAGCCTTGGTCAAATTAAAAATGCTTATAAATTGAAAAGCCATAAATTGGTGGTGACCAACTTATGACTTATGACTTTAGCTAAAATATACTTATAAGCCAATTTGACTTTGTTATAAGTTTAGTCAAACACCGTCTAAACCCCCTTCCGCCCAGAGTCCGAAACTTTTTTGATGCTTTTTTGGACAAAAAACACGTTTCTAATGTTAAAAAAAAGGTTACATAATTACGTAAAACGCAGTACTATATTGCGTTTTACTTTAACGGAAAGTTGGCCGTTAAAGTAAAACGCAGTATAGTACTGCGTATTATTTAAAATTATTTTTTTTACTAATTCGTAGTACTATACTGCGTTTTACTTAAAAAAAAGAAGAAGAGACTTTATTTTATTAAAGCAATTCGCAGTATTATACTGCGTTTTAACTAAAATGCAGTATAATACTGCGAATTGCTTTAATAAAATAAAGCCCTCCTTGGACCACAGAACCGACGAACCCCCATTAAAAAATTTCGGATTCTGCTGGTCCCCCCTGGTCAAACTTTAAAAAAAAAATTGGGNA